AACATTTCTGTCACAATACCGTCAGTTCCAGCTGCTTTACCCCCTTTCATTCTAAGAAATGCCTCACACACCTCCCCCACACTCACATCCTGCTCTTCTTCACTCCTAAAAGATGTTATACCTACCTGGCCAGTGCATGAAATTACTGCCTCCCTTCATTGAAATTTAAAAGTTCCTCAAAATATTCTCGCCATCTACCCAATACCGCCAGCTCCCCATCTACTAACTCCCCTACTCTGTTTTTAACTGACAATTCCATTCATTCCCTAGGCTTTGTTAATGTGTTTTTCTCACTCCAAAATTTTTTCATATTTTCATCAAAATTTCTTGACAGTGCCTCTCTCATTCTATCATCTGCTCTCCTTTTGCACTCTCTCACCACTCTCTTCACCTTTCTTTTACTCTCCATATACTCTGCTCTTCTTATAACACTTCTGCTTTGTAAAAACCTCTCATAAGCTACCTTTTTCTCTTTTATCACACCCTTTACTTCATCATTCCACCAATCACTCCTCTTTCCTTCTGCCCCCACCCTCCTATAACCACAAACTTCTGCCCCACATTCTAATACTGCATTTTTAAAACTACTGTATTCCAACCCTCTTCAACCCCCCCACTACTCAGTTTTGCATTAGCCCACCTTTCTGCCAATAGTTGCTTATATCTCACCCTAACTTCCTCCTCTCTTATTTTATACACTTTCCTGTCTCTCTTACTTGTTGCCATTTTCCTTTTGTCCCATCTACCTCTTACTCTAACTGTAGCTACAACTAAATAATGATCAGATGTATCAGTTGCCCCTCTATAAACATGCACATCCTGGAGCTTACCCATCAACCTTTTATCCACCAATACATAATCTAACAAACTACTTTCATTACGTGCTATATCATACCTCGTACAGTGGTCTCTCGTTTATCGTCCTTAATCCGTTCCTGGAAGTGGGACTATTATCGAAATAGACGATTTTTGAATAAATTTTCCCCATAAGAAATAATGTAAATACAATTAATCCGTTCTTGACACCCAGAAGTATTAAAACAAAAAATTTTTTTACATGAAATAAAGATGTAGTACATAAATAATACAATGGGACATGATGAATGAAACATTAACAGCATAACACTTACCTTTATTGGTGGTTCTTCTTAATGTATGGAAGACTGGAGGAGGAGAGAGATTGAATTACTGTTTGGAAGGGGAATCCCCTTCCATTAACACCTCAGGTACCAAGTGCTTTTCTGGGGTTACTTCTCTTCTCTATAGGTAGTAGGTTGGTAGACAGCAACCGCCCAGGGAGGTACTACCGTCCTGCCAAGTGAGTGTAAAACGAAAGCCTGTAATTGTTTTACATGATGGTAGGATTGCTGGTGTCCTTTTTTCTGTCTCATGAATATGCAAGATTTCAGGTATGTCTTGCTACTTCTACTTACACTTAGGTCACACTACACATACATGTACAAGCACATATATACACACCCCTCTGGGTTTTCTGTTTTCTTTCTAGTTCTTATTCTTGTTTATTTCCTCTTATCTCCATGGGGAAGTGGAACAGAATTCTTCCTCCGTAAGCTGTGTGTGTTGTAAGAGGCGACTAAAATGCCGGGAGCAAGGGGCTAGTAACCTCTTCTCCTGTATATATTACTAAATGTAAAAGGAGAAACTTTCGTTTTTTCTTTTGGGCCACCCCGCCTCGGTGGGATACGGCCAGTGTGTTGAAAGAAAGACTTCTCTTCTCTGTTTCTTAATGCCACCAGGACCAGCTTGAGAGTCACTGGAGTCCTGTCTCGCAAAACAACTGTCCAGAGAGCTCTGTTTCTGGCGTCTCTTTAAAACTTGCCTAAAATGGGCCAAGACTCTGTCACTGTACAAGTTGCCGATATGGCTTGCATCATCCTTCTCAGGGTGATGTTTCTCCATAAATCTTTCCATCCTACCCCACATTTAAAAAATCTCCTTAATTTCTGAAGAAGGCACCTTCTTCCATCTATCTTCCTCCTCCTCTGCAGCAAGATTCTGAGCTGCAATCTGTTGCTGTTCCTGCTGAAGCTCTTGCAGCTCCTCAGTGGTTAGCTCTTCGTTGTGGTCCTCCACCAACTCTTCCACATCCTCCAAACTCACATCCAACCCCATGGAACTCCCCAATGCCACAATAGAGTTCACAAGTGATATAGGCTCATCCGGGGCTGCATCAAACCCTTCAAAATCCCTCTTGTGGACACAATCTGGCCACAATTTTCTCCAAGCAGAGTTCAAAGTCCTGATAGTCACTCCCTCCCAAGCCTTACCTATAAGGCTTATGCAATGGAGAATACTAAAGTGTTCTTTCCAAAAATCTCTTAGGGTCAAGTGAGTGTCTGAGGTCACATTAAAGCACCTTTCAAACATTGCTTTGGTGTAGAGTTTTTTAAAGTTTGAAATGACCTGCTGGTCCATGGGCTGGAGGAGAGGAGTGGTATTCGGGGGCAAGAACTTTACTGTGATGAACCCAAACTCCTTCAGAGTTAGGTCATCCAAGTTTGGAGGATGAGCAGATGTATCTTTATATGTATATGCTTCTAAACTGTTGTATTCTGAGCACCTCTGAAAAAACAGTGATAATGTGTGAGTGTGGTGAAAGTGTTGAATGATGATAAAAGTATTTTCTTTTTGGGGATTTTCTTTCTTTTTTGGGTCACCCTGCCTCGGTGGGAGACGGCCGACTTGTTGAGAGAAAAAAAAAATTAAATTCTTCACACTAGGGCCAAACACTTCATTGAACCACTCGACGAAAATTTCCCTCGTGACCCATGCCTTATTATTAGATCTCCAAAACACACACAATTTACTCTTCATAACATTGTTTTTCTGGAACACTGGGATTTTCAGAATGGTACACTAGTAACGGCTTCACTTTGAAATCCCCACTAGCATTAGCACAGAACATGAGCGTCAGCCTGTCTGTCATAGACTTGTGTCCTGGCAGTGCCTTTTTCTCCTGAGTAATGTAGGTCCTCTTTGGCATTTTCTTCCAAAAGAGGCCTGTTTTGCCACAATTGAACACTTGTTCAGGTTTCAGTCCTTCAGCCTCTATGTACTCCTTGAATTCATGCACATATTTTTCAGCCGCTTTTTGGTCCGAACTGGCAGCCTCACCATGCCTTATCACACAGTGTATGTCAGTAAGCTTCTTAAATCTCTAAAACCAGCCTTTGCTGGCCTTAAATTGACTCACATCACCACTAGTTGCAGGCAATTTCTTTACCAAATCGTCATGCAACTGCCTAGCCTTTTCACAAATAATTGACGTCATAAGACTATATCCTGCTAATTGTTTCTCGTTTATCCACACCAATAATAACTTCTCAACATCTTCAAGTACTGGTGATCTCATTTTGCAACAACAGCTTCCTTGATTTCCTTTTTCTTGGCCACGATGGAAGATATGGTTGTACGGGATTTGTTATATATTCTGGCCAGTTCGCCCACACATACGCCACTTTCATATTGTTCAATGATGTTTTTCTTAAATTCAATCATATTTCTCACCTTCTTTACCAAGGCTTGGCACTAGGAGCTTTCTTTGGAGCCATGGTAGCTTATTTAGCACTTGCAAGCACTAAAATGAATGGAATATTATGAAATATTTCGTATGAACAAGTGAGGGAACGTCGCTCACTGGTAAACAATGGCACACTGGCTGGGAAGGGAGGTCGAGGCGGCTCAGAGCGTGAGTATGAGTCCAGGACGAAAGACGATTAGCGAGTCAACAGACCATTTGCGAGCCAATGTTTGGACGAAATAACGTGACGATTTCCGAAAAGGACGGCTATCAAGCCGGACGATTATTGAGGGACCACTGTATACTTATTTATCCTCTTTTTCATAAAATATGTATTACTTATTACTAAACCTCTTTCTACACATAGCTCAATTAAAGGCTCCCCATTTTCATTTACCCCTGGCATCCCACATTTACCTACTACTCCCTCCACAACATTTTTACCCACTTTAGCATTGAAATCCCCAACCACAAGTACTCTCACACTTGGTTCAAAACTCCCAACACACTCACTCAACATTTCCCAAAATCTTTCCGTCTCTCCTCTACACTTCTTCTCCATCCAACCTTTATTTTACTCCACATAATCCTTGAATTAATACATTTATATTCCCTCTTTTCCTGCCATAACTTATTCTTCAACATTATTAATACTCCTTCTTTAGTTCTAACTCTTTTGAAACCCCTGACCTAATCTCATTTATTTCTCCCCAATGAAACTCTCCCACCATCTTCAGCTTTGTTTCATTTAAAGCCAGGACATCCAGCTTCTTCTCATTCATAACATTCACAAACTTCTCTTTCTTATCATTCGCACAACATCCACGCACATTCAAACATCCCACTTTGACGGTTTTCTTCTTTTTCTTTTTAGTAGGCTATACGGGAAATGGGGTTACTAGCCCATTGTTCCCAACATTTTAGTTGACTTTTACAACATGCATGGCTTATGGAGGAAAGATTCTTATTCCCCTTCCCCATGGATATAAAAGGAAAAGCAATAAGAACAAGAACTATTAAGATAAAATCAAAGAAAACTCGATGAGTATGTTTACATAAACATGTACATGTATGTGTAGTGTAACCTAAGTGCAAGTAGAAGTAGCAAGACATAACTGAAATCTTGCATGTTTATGAGACAGAAAAAAGACACCAGCTATCCTACCATCATGTAAAACCATTACATTTCGTTTTACACTCACTTGGCAGGACGGTAGTACCTCCCTGGGTGGCTGCTGTCTACAAACCTACTACTACCTCTATCTCCATCAAATCCACCCTAACAAAGCAACCACATACATGAATGAAAATTAACATGGATTTTTCCCCTTCTACAAGGTGATTTTGGAGTCATCGGGCCATCTCCCAATGAGGTGAGGTGACCCCCAACATCGTCATTGCTCACAAGTGCAGGTATTGTACTTCCCTCTCATTACAAGTAAAAGAATCCACACAGAACCTGATAGATAACAAGCATGTCCTTTGGAAGCTGGTCCCGGGTAATGGCTCCTTCATCAGCACCCAGAAGATACAACACTTTCGGGGGATGGTTACAGATGTCTGTCACACCTGGAGTGTAGCCCAGGTCAAGAGCGGCCACCTGTGAGGCCACCCTCTGCAGCACATTTAACACACGCCATTCGGCTCCACCTTCACAGCCACTGCGCAGCTGCAGAAAAACAAAACAGAAATGAGCAAACTAAACCCTCAATTGAGCAGACTAATAGGAGGGGGAAATAATTCTGTAAAGAATGGGCTTCCTCCTCCAGGACTTAAGTCTGGCTAACCAGTTTTCCTGAATCCCTTCATAAATGTTACCATGTTCACACTCCAACAGTATGCTAAGTCATAAAACATTTGCCTCCACTCACTTCTATCTAATATGTTCATACACGCTCACTGGAGGTCTAAGCCCCTTGCACACAAAACCTCCTTTACCCCTTCCCTCCAACCTTTCCTAGGACAACCTTTATCCCTTCATTTGTCTAACCTATTTTTATGCTACCCAAGTAACTGCTTTTATAACCTTTTACTCATGTGCAAGCTGATTGCTCTGCCACACTGTATTACTACTACAACTCTAATATTACTACTACTGCTACTACTACCGCCACTAGTATTACACCTCAGTCTAAGTCTATATATACCCTGTGTGTCCATGTATTGTTTGTAATGGCTTGATAAAGCTCCTGGAGAGCAAAACATTGCCACAATAAAATGTCACATTAGTTGCACTTGTGTTCTTTTACCTAACCTTTATCTCACCTTCCCTCCACTATAGATTTATATATTCTCCAAAGTCATCCTAATATGTTCCATCCTCTCTAAATGTTGAAACCACATCAACAACCCCTCCTCAGTCTATTAACACTGCCACATAATAATCATCATCAATGTATAAAATGAACTGATTGCATTTGGTGAGTTCACATCACACATACGGACTTATTAGCAGAAATGATGCATCGTATAATAGCAAATTTTCATAAGCAAAAAATTCATAAATTGAGGGAAAGCCTGTATGTGGAAATCTGATGTAAAACAATGACTTAACTTTAGCTTACTTTCTGGGACAGTTGCAGAAGCTGACTGTACAATACACCTCCATCGGGGCGAGCCAAGAGGGAAGTCCCAACTACAATCATTGGTCGTTTGGCAGTGTTAAGACGTTGTGAGAATGGGTGTGAGCCATTCAGAAGTTTTCCAATAATAGAAGGATCGTCTCCCAAGTGCTGAAATACAGATGTTAAAAAATCATTACTGCTATTTGTAAAATATGCATTATACAGTAGTTCTATACAGCATACAGTAGTTATATATTCATACAACAGGGTTTACATAGGTTCCCCTATTTAGGAGGCCCACTGTTGTTGTTTTTTACACTGTCAATATCATTACTTCACAAAAAGAGTAAACATGGGATGATATTTTTAGAGAGATTTTTTTGCATAGTAGTTTGTTTAACACTGTCTTTCTGAACCCCCTACACATTTCCACACAAAGAGCAACATTAAAACACCTCACCTCGCAATCGTAAGTAAGATCCACTTTTGGTCCAATTATGGCAGCATTTAATTCATTGTACATCCATGCTTTGCGAACACGTGCATTGAATAGCGGAGCTTCATATCGAGGATTGGTACCAATGAACACAATCAAATCAGCTTCCTCAACGCCAACAATTTTTGTGTTGAGCAAGTATGAAGAACGAAGGTCAGTGCCAGTTCCAGCATCAGGGAAGATCTGCAATGACAATGTGAATTTAGTGTAGAAAATTAAAACAAATATTAGGAGCCAGTTATTCTCCATCATCATCTACAATGCTTACATCTACCCCAGTCTGATATTATTTAAAATTTTTTTTATTAACATATCAGCCGTTTCCCGCCGAGGCAAGGTGACAAGAAAAAGAAACACTCTCAGCATCGTTTACTCCATCACTGTCTTGCCAGAGGCACGCCTATTACAGTACAAAAACTGCAACAAATCTCCACCCCTCCTTCAGAATGCAGGCACTGTACTTCTCACCTCCAGGGCTCAAGTCCACCTAACTGGTTTCCAAAATTTGAATTCACATTAACCTCATGAACAAAATGGTACCAGTACAATAACTAATTAGCACCCTAACCAATCAACATAAGTTAATGGTCCATCCTCATAAGAACATAGGCAGTGGTGACTATGTTGATGATGGTTAACTGCATCCCAACAACTGCTGGATAGACATAGTCTGGCCAGTGAACATTAGCACCAACTTTAACCTTCACTGCATACACCATCATTATACAGCTACAGGGCCACCACACACCATCCTATAGTTGCAGGGCTACCACATACACCTACAGGGAAACCACATAGACCATCATCATACAGCTACAGGGCCACCACATACATCATCATACAGCTACAGGGCCATCACATACATCATAGAGTTACAGGACCAAGGGCAAACTTGTCAAAACCCCTTTTCCTCAGCTAACTCCAAACTTCACCTTTACCGTTGTTCACACGTTTAGGTCACCCACACTTCTACTGTCTTCACACTCCCCTATACAGTCACATGATCCATGTATTCCATAAACTTGAAAAGACTTATCTCCCAAGGTTTTAGGGAAACCAATTAGCCGGATGTGAGTCTTGGATGTGGGAAGAGCAGTGCCTGCACTCTGGAAGAGGGGTGAAGTTTAAGTTCAAAAAGTCAATTGCAAAATGATGTCTATGCACTTCTGGCAAGACACATTGAATGAAGGATGAAAAATGGAGTTTTTTTTTTTTTTTGGTCACTCTACCTTAGCAAAAGATGGCTAGTGTGTTAAAACTAAAAATTATTGTATTAGACAGAAGCAACACTTACCTCCTCAGTACAGGTAGATTCCCCACCGAGCTTGTTGACAAGATCTTTCAGTGCAACTAGAGACTCTGCGTCAACCAGCCCTTTAGGAAAAAATGAATTCATTACTGTTATATCAGTGATTTAATATGAAGGTTATGGATTATTATTTTATTCATTAGGAAGTGCTAGATTAATACGTATGGGTTTATAATAGGGGTGTGCCAAGGTATTGGTGGGTCTTGGCTAATTTTGATGGTACCAGTATTGGTTTTAAATTGAGAACTGGTGGCAGCAAAAACTTTGGTATTGTAACAATAAATAACAAAAAAAGGCACAATACCGTGACTGGAACGATACACAAATAATCTGCACATAAAAGAGAGAGGAATAACATCTTGTAGGAGTGAGGAAGAGCCAGTTGTGAGTGTGGGGGAAGTTCGTGAGGCAGTAGGTAAAATGAAAGGGGGTAAGGCAGCCGGGATTGATGGGATAAAGATAGAAATGTTAAAAGCAGGTGGGGATATAGTTTTGGAGTGGTTGGTGCAATTATTTAATAAATGTATGGAAGAGGGTAAGGTACCTAGGGATTGACAGAGAGCATGCATAGTTCCTTTGTATAAAGGCAAAGGGGAATAAAAGAGAGTGCAAAAATTATAGGGGGATAAGTCTGTTGAGTGTACCTGGTAAAGTGTATGGTAGAGTTATAATTGAAAGAATTAAGAGTAAGACGGAGAATAGGATAGCAGATGAACAAGGAGGCTTTAGGAAAGGTAGGGGGTGTGTGGACCAGGTGTTTACAGTGAAACATATAAGTGAACAGTATTTAGATAAGGCTAAAGAGGTCTTTGTGGCATTTATGGATTTGGAAAAGGCGTATGACAGGGTGGATAGGGGGGCAATGTGGCAGATGTTGCAAGTGTATGGTGTAGGAGGTAGGTTACTGAAAGCAGTGAAGAGTTTTTACGAGGATAGTGAGGCTCAAGTTAGAGTATGTAGAAAAGAGGGAAATTTTTTCCCAGTAAAAGTAGGCCTTAGACAAGGATGTGTGATGTCACCGTGGTTGTTTAATATATTTATAGATGGGGTTGTAAGAGAAGTAAATGCGAGGGTCTTGGCAAGAGGCGTGGAGTTAAAAGATAAAGAATCACAACAGGGTGGGAGATGTCACAGCTGCTCTTTGCTGATGACACTGTGCTCTTGGGAGATTCTGAAGAGAAGCTGCAGAGATTGGTGGATGAATTTGGTAGGGTGTGCAAAAGAAGAAAATTAAAGGTGAATACAGGAAAGAGTAAGGTTATGAGGATAACAAAAAGATTAGGTGATGAAAGATTGAATATCAGATTGGAGGGAGAGAGTATGGAGGAGGTGAACGTATTCAGATATTTGGGAGTGGACGTGTCAGCGGATGGGTCTATGAAAGATGAGGTGAATCATAGAATTGATGAGGGAAAAAAGAGTGAGTGGTGCACTAGGAGTCTGTGGAGACAGAGAACTTTGTCCTGGAGGCAAAGAGGGGAATGTATGAGAGTATAGTTTTACCAACGCTCTTATATGGGTGTGAAGCATGGGTGATGAATGTTGCAGCGAGGAGAAGGCTGGAGGCAGTGGAGATGTCATGTCTGAGGGCAATGTGTGGTGTGAATATAATGCAGAGAATTCGTAGTTTGGAAGTTAGGAGGAGGTGCGGGATTACCAAAACTGTTGTCCAGAGGGCTGAGGAAGGGTTGTTGAGGTGGTTCGGACATGTAGAGAGAATGGAGCGAAACAGAATAACTTCAAGAGTGTATCAGTCTGTAGTGGAAGGAAGGCGGGGTAGGGGTCGGCCTAGGAAGGGTTGGAGGGAGGGGGTAAAGGAGGTTTTGTGTGCGAGGGGCTTGGACTTCCAGCAGGCATGCGTGAGCGTGTTTGATAGGAGTGAATGGAGACAAATGGTTTTTAATACTTGACGTGCTGTTGGAGTGTGAGCAAAGTAACATTTATGAAGGGATTCAGGGAAACCGGCAGGCCGGACTTGAGTCCTGGAGATGGGAAGTACAGTGCCTGCACTCTGAAGGAGGGGTGTTAATGTTGCAGTTTAAAAACTGTAGTGTAAAGCACCCTTCTGGCAAGACAGTGATGGAGTGAATGATGGTGAAAGTTTTTCTTTTTCGGGCCACCCTGCCTTGGTGGGAATCGGCCAGTGTGATAATAAAAAAAAAAAAAAAAAAATAAAAGAGAGAAGCTTACAACGACGTTTTGGTCCGACTTGGACCATTGACAAAGTCACACTGTGTGACTATGTCAATGGTCAAAGTCGGACTGAAACGTCGTTGTAAGCTTCTCTCTTTTATGTGCAGGTTATTTGTGTATTTGGTATTGTCCTATCACTAGTTAATACAACAGGGTAATGGGATGAGTGTGGGGTATCAGGTTTGATCTGGGAAAGGAAAAAGGGACATGCTTGCTTCTGCATCCAAAAAAAGGAGCCTTTTGTAGGCAAATCATCTTGTGGTTTTCAACAAGAAATCTTGCTTCCATTCACTAGTTTAAAGATTTAGTAAAATAAGAATTATAGCACACACCTATTTTTACTGAATCAAGGCAATCTTCACAAATATATTTTCAACTGGCATGTAAGAGGCTTCAAGCACGAACTCCAGGTATGAACTTCGGCACTTGCACAGGTCGGTAACACCTGTGTGCTAAGGAGATCTGTTAGGGAGTGAGAGATTCCAAAATAGATCTTGAAACACTTGACCCAAATGATCTCAACTAACTTCATGACAGCCTCACCTCCAGCAATCGCAGCAACAGAACCATCAGCGGATTTTAAGGCCTTAGCCGCCACAATAAGGGCGTCCTCCCACTCGCAAGAACGCAGCTCGCCAGATGAATCCTTTACCATTGGATACAACAAGCGTTGACGCTTCAAGCCATCATAGGCAAAGCGGGATTTATCGGAGAGCCACTCTTCATTGATCTCCTGTTTATGAACAAGTTTGTTACATTTATATAATCCTAGAACTATATATTCTAAGTACCTTTAGTACACCATGTATATTCAATGATCATCTCAGAACACAAAGGCACAATACCATGACTGGAAAAAATACACAAATAACCCGCATATAGGAGAGACTTTATGACAACGTTCCGGTCAGACTTGGACAGAAGTCAGATCGAAACGTCTTCATAAGTTTCATTCTCCAATGTGTGGGTTATTTGTGTCATGATCATCTCAGATATCAATAAGCATAATATTACCTCATTTACTTGAGGCAGAATTCTCAGCACTTCTCCTGTGCGATGGTTAACAACAATGTTCGACCCAACGGCATCCATCACATCAATGGAGTCCGTGCGCCGAATTTCCCATGGACGTGCAGTGAAGGCATATGGCTGGAAAAAACATGATTTAATAGTTAACTAATTGATACACATCAACACACCCTCCAAATGTGTTTAGATATTAGACTTTTACAAACTTATGAATTTTTCTCATACTGACTGACTTATTTGTTGGCACAGCAAAAACAAAATTCATATAATTTCTAAAATTACACAAATCTAAAATACTCATGCACATTATTGTAATAAATTTTTGGAATAAGCTAAAATGTCTGCAGATGCTCGAAAACACAGATTTTAATAATAAAAAAAAAAGGAGCAAACTTGAGTAAATGAATGAATATCATTAGAGTAGAACACAGCAAATGAGGAAAAAAATATAAACAAAAAATATTAATATACAGCAAGACCCCGGATATCAGCCAAATCAGATTTCGGTCGCTTTTCTGGCTGAAATTCTATCCTGGATTTCAACCGGAAATTCGGAAATCAGCTGTATTGGACATGTTTACCCGCCACGCTGCATGTGTGAGTCAGTCTGGCTGTGTCTCTCGGTGAGTGAGCAACACTCCACGCATTCATCCAAGCAATTTGTTATAATCCATTGTTTTTTGTTGTTGTTTATTGAGTGCAACTGCGACATAAGCCACCATGGGCCCAAAGACAGTTCCTAGGGAGGTGCAAAGTTTTATGGAGAAATATCACCCTAAACAAGCTGAAACAAGCCATATCTGCAACATCTTCAGAGACAAAACCTTGTCCCTTGGTGCCTTCTTCAGCGATTAAGGACATTTGTTCAAAGTGGAGTGAGATGCAAAGTTTTGTGGAGAAATGTCACCATGGCCAAGCTGAAACAAGCCATATCTGCAACATGTTTAGTGACAAAACCTTGTCCCACTTCAGGCAAATCTTGAAGAGACGCAAGAAACAGACCTCTCTGGACAGTTTTTTTGGTGACAGGGGTGCAGTGACTCTCCAGCTGGTTCTAGGGCCAGTAAAAGACAAAGAAGGGATGTGACTCTGGATAGCGACTTGATACCCGAAGTCCTCATGGAGGGGGATTCCCCTTCCAAACAATAATCAGTCCTTCCTCTCTCCTCCTCCCTGTCTTCTATATGCCAACAAGAATCTTCAATATAGGTAAATGTGATGTTAAATGTTCATTTATCCATTTCAATAGTCATTTTATTTAGTTCTCATTGTTTTATGTATGTAAAACTACAGTTAATCTTTAAAAAATGTATTTTTTGTTAATATTTTTGGTGTTTGGAAAGGTTAATTTGCTTTTTTTTTAACATGTCTGTCATCTCCCACTGAGGCAGAGTGACCCAAAAAGAAAATACTTTCATCATCATTCAACACTTTCACTTCACTCATACATAATCACCGTCTTTGCAGAAGCGCTCAGACACGACAGTTCAGAAGTCCCTCCAAACTGCCAATATCCCAAACCCCTCCTTTAAAGTGCAGGCATTATACTTCCCATTTCCAAAACTCAAGTCTGGCTAACCGGTTTTCCTGAATCCCTTCACAAAATATTACCCTGCTCACATTTCAACAGCTTATGGGAAATATTCGGTTTTCGGCCTTTTTGGATTTAGGCCGACCTTCTAGAACAAATTACAGCTGAAATCTTGGGTTCCACTGTATGTTTTGACTACATGAAGATGACTTAGGGAGATAACCCCTAATCCCATATCTTACACTTTCTCTTGTAATCTGCAAAAATACCCATTCTCTCCCAGTCCACCACCACCTTAGGGCACTTTTGCCAGTATTCGTTGAACAGAATTATGCAGAATACATCTGTGATCTTTATCACACAAAATTCTTGTTGCAACCCCTGAATGGGTTACAATGATGATTATGTATATATGTAATGTATATTACCTTTTCATTTAATTTTATATTGCTTATATTTGCGATGATAGCTCCTAAATCGTAAAGGTATGAACTTTATATTATTATTGACCTATACTTGTTATTTAGCTTATGTGTTAGGGAAAGTATATAAAATGGCTCAGTTAGGCTGTTTGTCAACTCCTGTAATTTATCGCTTGTACCGCTCGATTATAGCTGCCGGCGTCTGAGCTGCAGTTGTCCACGTAGCTATCACGTGATCCGAGGGGGGGGGTGTTCCTCTACCTCTCGGCGAAATTTGTCAGTCTGCTGAGACTCGCTTGCGGTTGGACAGCTTGTCTGTCTGAGTCTGCTGAACTCGCTTGCTGGTTGGACAGCTTCTGTCTGAGTCTGCTGGAGAAACCTCGCTTGCTGGTTGGACATCTTTGTCCTGTCTGACAGTCCGCTGGAGACTCGCTATAGCCCGAGTTGGACAGCTTTCTGTCTGAGTCTTCTGAGACTCGCTAGCTGGTTGACCATCATGTCTGTCTGAGTCTGCTGGAGACTCGCTTGCGTTGGACAATAGTCTGTCTCATATCTTGGTTAGTTTCTGTAGAACTTTGTTCACAGAACTTGTATAGAACATAGATGATTTTCGACGTGTACTGAGGTTGTGTGTCACATAGACACTTCTGAGTATCTCAGGTCCTTAGCTATATCTTCTGACCTCATTTTTGTACTGGTTCCTGTTATTGGTCACATCCACAGTTTTTTCCTATGCTGAACGTAGATTCAGTATTATGGGAGTATTATGTAACTTTTGTGGAGGATCTGCTGATGGTCCCTACTTATGTCGTTATATATTTCCCAGTTCCAGATTCCTGTGCTGTCGCTTGATATGCATTGCTATAGGGGCTTAGCAATTCTTTGTTGATCAAGCAGAACTGTATTCGGTTGAAGTCGGTCAGAAGTTAGTTTATTATTTGAGGACATTGTCAGTCCCTGTTTAAGTCTTATTCGAGTCTTGAGACATACTAACTTACTTAAGAGGCAACTTACACGCATACACACTTAGCTTGTACATATTTGTAATATCTTATTAAATGTTTTAATGTACTGACGGTACTTAAGAATATAAATGTGAGTGCTTATCAGCACAATAATATTGACTCGAGAGATTGATTTTATTTGATTGCTGTATAGATTAATTTAATTTGAAAATAAACCTCTAGACAACTTACGACTTAATAAATTTATAATTAAATATAATTTTCTTCTAGTTAGTAGCCTAACCAGTTGTAATCCTAAAGAACTATTGAACATACAGAAATTCAATGATAATTGGACAAAGGATACTGGACTACTTGTTACCGAAAACCAGTAACAGGCTGGATGCTAAGAAGGGCATTCCTTTCTAGTATTCACTGGAGATTCTCTAAACTTTTAGAATCGCGTTTTTTGTAACAAATGGGGGCGCTGTCCCCGGGATTATCTATAAGATCCAAGGTGTTGGAGAAATTGTCCATTTTTGAACATACTAGTACATCTATGGATCAACCACTTTGAGTAACTTTCCCTATCTGAAGACTTGAGTTTAGTCTTGTACAACATACCAGGTGGATGTATGTATCATGACTGAGTCCTCTTGATCCAAGAGATGGCAATACTGTTTATGATTTTCTAACTCTAAGACAACCAACCTAAAATTCCTATCAGGATTATAGTTTTACCAAGTAATTACTCTCCGTAGTACAATATTTTCGTGATGTATGCTAAAGTGAACAGTTAAATTGATACTCTGGACTTTGTCTGAAGTTAAGTACATTAAAACTACAGACGCGTTGGCAAGTAGCGCAAGTATCTCGTGTGACGTATTACAGGAATTACACCGCAGAAACTGAGTCAGAGCATTAATTAAAGATATTAATTGTTTCCTGCTCATACAGAGATGTCCGATTATGATTCAGATTCAGAAAGTTCTAGTGTCACAATTAGGAAAGTAGACTTATTTGAAGTTGATGAAAAGAGCAACAGAGCTGCAGTGAGCCTAGTGTCTGAGCCTAGTTTAGCTCAGTTCTCGCTCACAACCTTCCCCGCCTCACTGAAACACTAAAGTACAGAGTATAGCTGTTAGTAAGACACAGCCTAATACTAGTACAGTGTATGATACACCTGTAATAACTTATCCGTAAGCCCAGATCTAGACTCACTAGAGACGCTGGACCAAGTGTCCGTCCTAAGGACCGCCAGACCATTTAATTTCCCTATACTCTCCATTAACCCACTGGTCCTATCTCTCATGAACAGTTGAGAGGTTTGAACGCCTCATTATGTGCAGACTGCACAATTGAGGGCACAGAGTAATTGAAAAACGAAGAAGATTTCCAAAGAGAAAATTTCTTCTGTTAAGAACAACAGACTGATAGATCACAGAACACAATTTAATGTGCAGAAAGCTGCATCTATGGTTCATAAGTTTTTTTGAAAGGTGACCTTAGACACATATTTGATGTGTTTGAGACAGGCTCGTGCTATGACCCTATGCCACAGTAAGCACTGGACGCAACATTGCTTCATACGGCTATGAACGGCAGAGCTCAAACGTGTTCTTGCAGCCTTACCATTATGCCACGTACCTTAGTTATGACGCTGTCAAACAACTATTCTAGAGACATATCATTGTTACCTGTAAGTTATCAAACAGCATTTCGTACGTTACAACGAACGAAAAGACCAAACTTGTGTATAGTTTTTGCTCGTGAGAAAAAAGTTGCATTTGCGAGTGGTCTAGAGCGAGCTAAGTGTAACACCTAACGACAGCCTTTGTTCATTGTATTACTACACGAAGAGTTTAACAACTGTATGACAGCTGACATACAAGAATATCAGATCGATCACACTACTCCAATATTCTGGAAACTGCAGCCTTAGCGACAATTACGAAATTTCTCACAAAGAACATGTAGCGTATCTAAAACACGAGAAACAAGGTAACTAAAAAATTGTCCAGAAGTTGGCAATCCCTAAATCAGCTGCTCCATTGCCGGCCTGATGTACCTGTTACTGTAACTACTCGGTACCATTACCAGGAAAACTCACAATCCTGAAAACTGTCTCTGTGGCTAGACAGAAATCTGGTATCGATAAGAAAAGTTTTAAATGAACCTATTGTAACAGAAAGACATACTAGAGAGTATTGCTAAAAATTAGAAAAGAATACGATGAAACATCGTGCGGCTGCGCCCCCACACAAGTCGTATCCCTCTCCGAGCAACAAAGGCACCAAAAGCCTATCAATTCCTCTTAATCCTACGTTTTTAAGATAATGTTACTCAGGATAGATGACTAGCGTCATAAAGTGTAATCTGACAAAAAGATTCGTTCAGCGATGAGTTCCCTTACTTTTCCGTGAGAGATAAAGTAGGTTTGGACGAAACACATCTACTGAGATAATTTCTTTCAGAGACACTGGCAGTTATCTCACGTTATTAAGAGAGATGTACTGCCCATAACGACTGATAACCTATTTGTAAGATAGATTATTGTTAGAAAGCCTAATGTGTGGGGCTGTTATAAAAGTGCCTCTGCACAAGTAAAGAATGAAACAAGCTATTATACTGGTATAGTCCAGTGGTATATCCAGTGGGTTAATTTCCCTCAGGTCATTGGACTTGTTTGATAGGGAATGATAACCTTCATGATGCTGGTTATATGTAAAGAGCCACTTGTTTGATAAAACACGATGATATTATGCCATTGACGCTTGTAAGAGAAACCTATTTTATTCCTCTCATGCGCAATTACTAGAGCCTATGTCAAAGGATACAACAAACCATCCTTGTCTCCTGTTGAGTTAGTGATGACCCATTATTGGGGGTTGAATATGTTGTCTTTAGTGACCTCATGGTGCGCCCAGGATCATTAACACTACACCCCCCGATCATCAACCTAGTCCAGGATACAACTGACTGTTAAAATTCTATCTCATGAAGAGATTTAATCAAGATCAGTTTTGATGATGCATTCAACTGGAATACTGAGAGATTTAGCAGTTTACTAGGAGAGTGAAGCAAAGGATCTCGATAATTGTTACTATTATAGTAATGTGTACTGATGGATGACAAATACATCTAAGTTGTCAGCTGATAGTGTTTCCACCACAGTCAAGAAATAAATTTCTCCCCCCTAGTGTTGAACAGTTTACATTTCGTGCACAAGCCATTGATTTTGCTCACAATATCCCATAGGAGGACATTTGTGTGTCACGATGACACCGGTAAACTGGCAAAACATTTTACTTGGCCAAAGATGAAGAAACAGTAACCTGATCATGTGCGACGTTGCACGTGTGTCAAGTGACAGGCAAGCCAGAGCCTCAACCTCCACCTACAACCTCATTACAATGAGCTCTAGTACCAAAGTTTCAGTTCACCTGGACTAGAGATTGTTCAGACTCGTTTCAAAAGGTTGAATCGCCTGCTTTCCTCTGCTCTTGAGTTGAAGAGCTCCTAAATTCAATCTTTCCATCTTTTTACATATAGATGCGAGTTGCATGCAGTGGTTGGCTGTGCTGCCCAAAATTTCAACATCCACTGATAATCGCCATCCTAAATGATTACAAATCATCTAACTCATCAACTACACCAGAAAAATTATGCTATAGTTCTTGATGGTGTCCTTTGAACATTTTGACGAGTAATTTGGGCACTTCCCCATTTAAAATTTACGTAATTTTATGCCCAAATAACCTTTGTTACTATGCTAGACTCAAATTCAGTAAAGTGAAACGTAATCCCTCCCTCCAGCCCATATTATACTATATAATACTCATGTCATGTCTAGATTATTATATTTATATATTCACAGTAATGTGTGTGAGGAGGAAACAAGCTGAGTGTTGAGTGAGTAGTGTGGTGCGGGTGAGTAACTGCGTGACGCAACACAGTCCTGCCGCAGACCCGCCCCTCACCACACACCTAAGCAGTTTCATACTCAGATGTTCATACTGCCTAGCATTCCACAACCACTACTTAAGAGTGGAATGCAGTCTCATCTACTATGATCGAGCCTCACGAGCCCCTCCTTGTCAGCGCTATCCTGTCTCTACACTGATGTACATAACCTCACGAGTATGTCAGATACGATCCTGTGACGCCACTAGTACCTAGGGGCATATCCTAGTTACGGACGCTGTGAAATTGTAGAGGGTTGGCACAAGAGACTGATCAAATTTTTATATTGATAATAGTATTAATGAGTAGATCAGAAATATGGAAAGACAATGCAACTCCTATGCGACCCCTGTCGTGTTGGGGGGTGTTTGCAAACCCCAGAATGGGTTACAATGATGATTAAGTATATAATGATAATGTATATTATTCCTTTTCATTTAATTTTATATATTGCTATAATTGCGATGATAGCTAAATCGTGAATGTATGCCTTTCTATTATTATTTGGACTATTATATTGTTAGGTATTTAGCAATATGGTTGTTAGGAAGGTATATAAAATGTGCCAGTTTTGCTTTGATTGTCCAAACTACAGTAATTATCGCATGGTCGCTCGATATACTGCGGCTTCTGCGCTGCAGTTGTCCACTAGCTATCACGAGATCGAGGGGGGGGTGTGTCCTCACCTCTCGTGAAATTGTCCAGTCTGTGTGCTGTGAGACCGCTTGCTGGTTGGACAATCATGGCTGTCTGAGTCATGCATGAGACTCGCTTGCAGGTTGACAGCTTGTCTGTCTGAGTCTGCTGAGTACACGCTTGCTGGTTGGACACTTGGTCCTGTTCTGACAGTCAGCTGGAGACATCGCTTGCTGGTTGGACCCCAGCTTTCTGTCTGAGTCCCTGCTGGAGACTCGCTGCTGGTTGGGACAGCTTGTCTGTTACCCCTGGGGAAAAGGTCTGCTGAGAGGAGACCTCGCTTGCTGGTTGGACAGATTGTCTGTCTCTTTATCTTGTTAGTTTTCTGTAGAACTTTGTTCACAGAACATTGTAAAGACTTAGTGATTTTCGACGTTGTACTGAGGTTGTGTGTCACATAGAACTCTGAGTATCTCAGGTCCTTAGCTATAGCTTCTGACCTAATTTTTGTACTGGTTCCTGAGTATGTCACAGCACTGTTATTTCCCTATGCAGAACTAGATTCAGTATGAGGAGTATTATGTAACTTTTGTGAGGATCTGCTTGTGTCCCCTACTTAGTGGTGCGTTATATTATTTCCCAGTTCCTGATTCTGTCGCTGTGTCGCTTAGAGATATTGGCATCGCACCGGGATGACAATGGCTTAGCATTCATTGTTGTTCAAGCAGACTGTTCTGGTTGCCAGTTCGGTCAAGAAGTTTAGTTATTTGAGGACTTGTCAGTCCCCAAACATTGTTTAAGTCTATTCGAGTCTTGAACATAGCTAACTACTTAAGAGCACTTACACGCATACACACTTACTTGTACATATTTGTAATATCTTATTAAATGTTAATGTTACCGAACGGTACTTAAGAATTAAAAATGTGATGAGCTTTCAGCACAATAATAGTTGAACTCGAGAGATTGATTTTGATTTTGATTGCTGTAAAATAATTTAATTTGATAATATACCTCTAACAACTTACTACTTAATTTAAATTATTAAATTTTAATTTCTCTAAGTTAGTATCCTACAGTTGTAATCCTAAAGAACTATTGAACCATACTGGGGGGGCATTCATGATAATTGGACAGGATACTGACCTACTTGTTACGACAACCCAGTAACAGGCTGGATGCTAGAAGGGCAGTCCTTTCTAGTATTCACTGGAGATCTCTAAACTTTTAGAATCGCGTTTTTTGTAACAATTCTTTATAACCTTTTTGTAAAGATTAGTGTTTGAATATTTCTACATTGTAAAACCTTCTCTTGCATGATAAAATTTACAGTAGCAATGCAAGTGTAATGTATAGCAATAATGATGTTGGACTTACCAGAATCATGGAATATTATACTGACAAATTAAAAAAAAATCCCTGAGCAAACGGTCATTTATCTAAAAAAAAAAAAAAAAAAAAAAAAAAAAAGACAAACCCACTATTAATTATGAAGGTCAATGCATGTATCCTGCTTTGAGCCAACACTATCCCTCTCGCTAGGGAATGGCCAATTGTAAATAGTTCTAAAACAGGTTTACCACAACACAGATTACCTTGAGGTGAGGGCTCCCCACAGGGCAAAGGTCAAGTACAATTTTCCAGACAATTCAGACATGAGCAATCTCTCCACGTAAGTTCAATCTCAGCTTTCCCGTCCATTGTGCCTAGTCTTCCCCCCAGCAATCTGGTCATGAACGGACTAATTTAGCAAAAACATTCTCCTTAATAAAATTTTTTAACAATGAAAAAATTTTAAAGAAAAACTAAAGTGAATAAACACCTACACGTCAATATAACCCACATGGAATAGAAACTCGGGAGGTTGTTGATCTTGTATTTTAAACCCCCTTTCCCTGAAAGGACCAAAAAGGGGGGTCAAAATAACAGATCAATAACCCCTTTGGCTCCTGTCTCCATGGGGGTTTTTTATTGGGGGCATGAACATATAAAGAAATACAGGCAAACATAAAAAATATAAACAGAAATAAACAATAAAAATCATAATAATAATAATATAATAATAAAAAGTAAGCAACATCCCTTTTAAAATTTCAATATACGATATATAGTAAAAAAGATATAAATATAACAAAGTTTACCTAATATTACCTTAGTAACTTAACCCTGGTATCTGGTCCTGCATCTCAAAAAGGTTTGGGGGTTAAGCAACAAATACATTGGGGGGCCCTGGCCTGGTGCAAAGCTCCCGCCTCACACACGGGGGGCCCCGTTTTCGATTCCCCGGGGGGAAAAACCCAAATTCGCACGTTTCCTTACACCATTTCCTTTTCACCTAGCACAAATAATACCCTTTTAGTCGACGGTGGGGGTCCATCCGGGGGGACAAGTTTGAGGACCCCAAGGGAAATAATTAACAGCCCGAAGCACTGATTTTTTGGGTTACCGGGGGGCAACCCCTCCGGGAAAAAATCCGAACAAAATTTTAAATTTTATTTTACTACAATTGGTTTTTCCGCAATTTCTTTATCCGCAGTTCCCAGCCCGAAAAAACCCCTTAAATTTTTGCTTCATAATGCCCCAAAGCACAAAAGTAAGATGACAGCAGTTCTTAAAAACCTAAGAGAACTGTGAAATTCTTTCCCATCGTAAAAAATGCTAAAAAACATTTAATGTGCATAATTTATAAATTTAAACTATCATAAATTATTAGGGAATGAAAAAAAACTAGAGTGGGTTTGGTAACAGCAACCACCCAGGGGGGTACTACCGCCCCTCCAAATGGGGAAAAAAACGAAAGCCGAAATTTTTTTTTAAAAGATGGGGGGAAATGCGGGGTTTTTTGTCTGTCTCAAAACATAAGATTTCGGGTATTTGCATTCACTTACATTTAGGTCAACACACAAAAAAATACAAGCATTTTAAATACACACCCCTAGGTTTTTTTTTCTATTTTTCTTTCTGTTCTTGTTCTTTTTATTTCCCTTACCCCAGGGGGGAAGGGGAACAGAATTCTTCCCCCCCATAACCATCGTGTTGTAAGAGCGACTAAAATCCCGGGGAGCAAGGTGCTAGAACCCCTTCTCCAGTATTAATTCTAAATGAAAAGGAAAATTTTCTTTTTTCCTTTTGGGGCCCCCCCCCTCGGTGGGAACGGCGGTACTTGAAAAAAAAATAAAAAACCTTATATCAGAAAAAGGGTTAGCTACTACCCGGGTTTTCCGGGCACCATTAGGTCTTAACTATCCCTACAGTGGGGGGGACACTGTAGTATGGTAATCACAAATAGATTCATAAATGAATGAATTCTCTCTATGAACCATATTTTTAATTTCATTAGTAAAAAAAATTTATTATTTTGAAGACAGTACACATCTGATTTACACATTCCAGCTTACGTTTGTATGAATACAAACATAAGTCTAATAATTATACAAAAATGATTGTACTAAAGAAAAATTTTTTAATCATTCAAACATAAATAAAAAACCATTAACTAAAAAACCAATTACTAAAACCCCTTTTTTTAGCCCCAAACTGCTTTTATAATTTTACTTGATTAGCTAAAATTCATGTTCCTGAACTTATCAACTTTCTAATAGGGGCTTTTCAATGATTTCCACCAACCAATCTAAACCCAATTAACTACATTACTTTTTTTTTTTTAAATTTCAATTTTAAATCATGGAAGCATGAAAACAATCAAAATACAACCTGCATAGACACTTAGTCAAAAAATTCCCAAAATCAAATATTTTTTAATTCCCGGGGTTTAACCCCCACCTTTCTTTACAAAGTTGTAGGAAGTTATTTTATGACCCTAAAAAAGGGCTCTCACCCCGTTGCAAAGCGAACACGCGGTACTGAATACATCTTTTCAGATGGTCTTTAACGAGGGGGCCAAAGTTCTTGCCGAAAGCTCCTTTTTGTCCCAAAAAGCAGTCCCTTTAGAACCAAAGGCACACTGATCCTGTTAAGATTTTAAAAAAATTAATAATAAAAACCCCCCCTTCCATTCACCTCAGATCCAGTCAACAGACAGAAAATTTGGGTTCCTTTTTGTAAAAACAGTTGTCCTCACCAAGGGAGGGGGACACAAAAACACTTCACATCAAACCATACCACGGGGGGGGTTTGATCCTGCGGTCAAGGGGTATAGTTTTTTTTTTTTTTTCAAACGTGGCATTTCGATTTTGTGAGACATTCCTTTCATTTGCTCAATACCCTCTTGCAGGGAAATACATGGACATCACAGTTCAAAGACTCATTAAATGCAATTCCCCACCCAACTAAATATATGTAAAAATATCTCTACCCTCTTGTCTATTTTGATACTATATAACAACCCTGCCTTGTGGGAGACAGCCTCTGTTAAAAAAAAAAAAAAACCCAAAGTTAAACAAAATTTAATCTCCTAAGCAATACAGAAAATTTAAAAAATTCCACTGATAAAAAACTCTAATTTTAAGATAAATTCAAAAGAATTTTTTTTAACACTGAAATTTAAAACCCAAATTTAAAGCCTTCCTATGAGCCTGCAATATAAATCTCTATTTAGAAAATTTGGTTTAAAAACTTTTAAAAAAATCTTCCTTTTCAAAAAAAAATTTTTTAAAATTTTCTACCAGTTTTTTGGCATAACTAAGAAATATAACAGCACAATATTTCAGAAGGGTTTTTTGACTTGTTATTTCCCCGGAGTGCAATTTATTTAAATGCAAATAAAATGACTGAAATCCAATGATTTCTTCTATTTTTTTGGGCACCTACATCATGGGAGAGAGAAAGCACAAAAAGAAAAATAATCTCAACATGAGGCCTGGTCAGGCCAAGCAGCGGGGCATGCCCCCCAAAAATCTCCAGGTATGTCTGATATCCAAACTGCCTCTCTAGTCAACCACATCTTGATCATGGGTAGTAGGAAAAAAAATTTAAATTACTGCCTAAAAATAAAAACCCAAGCCTAGGGCAAAATTCTTGTAAAATACACTAAATTTTGTTTCTTGGTGGGAAAGGCCATGTAGTTAAAAAAAAAAAAAATTGTCTCACCTGCAGATCACATTCTCCCCCGATCACAAATGGGGGAACCCAAAGGGTGATTGATAAGTAAAAACTCCTCACACCCTCACGACCTTACGCTCCTCCACGTTTGTTTTAATCCCCCCACCCCCTTCATCACGGGATTGCACTGCACTCAGGCTGGGAAATAAGACACAGAAGTAGTCTGTGTATTTAAATTCATCATCTGGGCAAAATTTTTTTTCCCTAAGAAGCTTTCTGTAATCATTTAATTTTAAAAAAAGGGCACAAACCAGACTAAAACCATTCATTTTTAACAGGTTTTAAAAAACTATAGCCCAAAATTTCCCAAATTTTCACCCCTCAAAAATCTTTAAAAATTAATTTAAAACGAATCTACTCCAAACCCTTTTCCCCAAAAAACTCAACCCCTGCCAATTTTGGATTTCAGGCCTAAAAAAAATACTAATGTGCTATTTTACACATCAGAACATATATACAGCAAAAAAAAAAAAGAAGTCCCCCTGGGACTTCATTTTACTACTAAACTTTTTAACATTGACCATGACTTCCCACGTAAAATGTCACCATGGATAAAGGGGACTCCCTCAACTACCTCAATCATACCTCGCAAAAGAAGCCAATATTGACCAAATGGGCAAACCTTCTGCGCAAACCAATTTCATTGGGGCCCCACAGGGAAGTGTCCTTGGCCCCCTTCTCTTTTTCCTATACAAAAAACCTTCCAAATGCTTCGCAATTACCAAACCCACACTATTTGCAATACACTACAACTCTTCTCTCACCCAGCCCCTCACACTAGCCAAACGTAAATCCAATTACAGAAAATATCTACCTGGATAACTAACAAAATTACATAAACATTGACAAAACCACTTCATTCAGTTTGGTAACAGAGCACAGATTCCCCCTTAACATAAAGATAAACGGATCACCTATCAAAAGCAACAAGGGGAAAATTTTTTAGGGAAACCACCTTGATAATAGACCAAATTTCCACAAAACAACAAATTTTTTTAAAAAAATTTCCAAGACCCCTAGCATACAACGAAAATACGGGACTAGTTTCCCCATCACCCCCTGGCCCTATATCACCTCTTTTTTACCCTATCTCACCTACGGGAAATTTTGCATGGGGGTCAACAACAATTAAAACCCTCTCAGAACTAATACCCAACAAAAGGCTGCAGTTAAAGATAAAAAATTCTCACTACAGGGAGCACACTCCACCAATATTCAATACACAAAACCTACTCACCATACAAAAAAATCCATACTTATTACTCACCTATTACATACATAGAACACTTAACTCTGATATTAACCCTCCCCTCAAACATCTCCTTGCCAACCTCAACAAAAACACATGACCAAAACACGAGGCAAAATCACTCTTTGATGTTCCTCGTGTTCATCTCACACATGCAAAAACTCAATGCACATAAAAGGCCCTAAAATCTGGAATTCATTACCTGTAAATAAAAAAGAAACACTACCTGTTATAAATTCAAATCTCTACTCAAAGATCACTTACTCACCCAAAACCAAATAAATACTGAATAACTAA